ATAATGTAAATAATTCCTGTAATAATACCTAGGAAATCTCAGAAATATAGACAATACTGAAGGATCAGATAAACATGGCGACAAAGATAAGGAAAATAGTCCGAATAATATATCAATAATACCTCAATTCTCAGAAATATAAACTTATTAATCACGTTGGATGTGATCAAATTTTACAAGGGTTATTATCTCTTTCGAAAATCAATTTTTCAACGGCCGGTTTAAAAAAACATGGAAGGCACACCGATTTTGCAGGTGCAACACAATTTTTTGTAGAATATTAAAATTAGCAAAAAATGAAACCCTTCTATAAATTAAACGCCGTCCTGGGTAAGACGATAAACTACATCCGACAGCAACGCCTTTGATCGGGAAGTTTTGAGGAGCATGCAAACACCTCTTAATTGCTGGTGTTCCCAAGTTCACCCCAACTCAGGGTGGTAACACCTGTCAGGGTCCCAACTATGGGCAAATATTTACCCCCTCCACAAAGGGGTTAAAACACTATGAACGTATAAAAATAGGTTTTATTACCAGCAATATTTTTTGGGGAAAAATTATTACCAGCAGTACATTTTTGGAAAAGAAGATATTACCAGCAGTACATTTTTGCAAAAAAAAATATTTCCATAAATAAAAATCTTGTCAGCATTAAATAACCCATTGAGGTTGATATACCGTAAAACAAAACAAACCAAAATTTATACATTTAAATTATTCATAAATGATGTGGTATAGTTTAAAATATTTTTTCTATATCCTTTCACACCTAAGCAAGGCGATAAAGTCACTAAGACGCAAGAGGGATTACTGAGGATTAGTAACAATAGAGACTTATCGAACTATCCTTAGCTGCATAATATGCGATTCGTATATTATTCCCATCTTTCCCAAGGGTATTAACACGGAAAAAATGTAATGGATTCGACTGGAATTCGAACTTGGATCTCCGTTTCCGCAATCCGTGTCGTTATCCATTACTCCACCGTGCCTCCTCTTTTCAGGGCTACATACAGTTTTAAATTTAGAGTTTTCCTTCTCGTAGACCGATTGCCACCCAAGGCTATAGAACCCAGTCTGTTAAGGAATCAGCCGTAGTCGGGATCATCGTGTCAATGCGAACGATCCTTTCCTTAGCTGCAATAGTATGTGATTCACCAGGGCTACCCAAAGTTTTCAATTCAGTGTTTTCCTTCTAGATCGGTTGCCACCCAAGGCTATAGAACCCAGTCTGTTAAGGAGTCGACCGTAGTCAGGATTATAGAGTTAATTCGAACGATCCTTTCCTTAGATGCAATAGTATGTGCTTCGCCAAGGCTACCCAAAGATTTGAATTCAGAGTTTTCCTTCACCTAGACCGATTGCCAGTCAAGGCTATAGAACCCAGTCTGTTAAGGAGTCGGCCGTAGTCGGGATCATCGTGTCAATGCGAAAGATCCTTTCCTTAGTTGCTATAGTATGTGCTTCGCCAGGGCTACCCAAAGATTTGAATTCAGAGTTTTCTTTCTCCTAGACCGGTTGCCACTCATACCCAGTATGTCCTGCTATTTATCCATAGCAAAGGAAACTGAGAAAATGTTACAATGGATAAAGGAGAATAGCAAGAACAGGATTCAAAACAACAGATGATGATGACGATGAATCTGATGATGATTAACGTTGCATTTATTCTCTTGTAGACAATATTTAGCAAGAAACTACAAGAGATTTCCATAGGCGAGAAGTGCGAAGAAGAAACTATTAGAATAGAATTTACGGTTACATTTAGCAATCTCAAAAGTAAAATGATGGGACCTAACAGCCAGCCAAGTACTACGTTTAAATTTCTTAAAACAATTACCATGAAAATATTTATAGAAACGTCACAGAGAAGTGACGTTACGACACTGGGAAAGTGACTAAAGCCGAGATGTCAGGTCAGGACTAAAAAATATTGTAGATTCTTCTTTGGATTGTATCCAGAGTCTCAAGATACATATCAGAAGCACCAAAGCCGATGTGGCAGCAGCATTCCACGAAAGAGTGACTGACAAACTTATAAAGATGTAAGAGAGGGGCGGGTGAAAAATATATCTACGACGTATGAACACTAATGGGTATATCCCAATCCTCATAAATACGTTGAACACTATTGTATGTGGGGGTAATATGCTGTGTAAATGATTTTTACACTTTCATTATGTTTTGAAACTATTTGCCCATACGTGGAACCCTAACAGGTGCTACCAACCCGGGTCAGGGTGCACCTGGGAACACTAGCAATTACGGGGTGGTTCTACGCTCCTCAAAACCTCCTGATCAGAAACCTTGCTGTTGGATGCAGTTTATCGTCTTACCCAGGACGCGTATGTAGTTTATCGTCTTATCCAGAAGGCGCATGTAGTTTATCGTCTTACTCAGGACGCGCATGTAGTTTATCGTTTTACCCGGGACGCGGATGTAGCTTATCGTCTTACCCAGGACTCGGATGTAGTTTATCGCCTTACCCAGGACGTGGATGTAGTTTATCGTCATACCCAGCACGCGGTTGTAGTTTATCGTCATACCCAAGAGGCGGATGTAGTTTATCGTTTTACTCAGGACGCAGATGTAGTTTATCGTCTTGCCCAGGACGCGCATGTAGTTTATCGTCATACCCAGCACGCGGATGTAGTTTATCGTCTTACCCAGGACGGGGATGTAGTTTATCGTCATACCCAAGATGCGGATGTTGTTTATCGTTTTACTCAGGACGCAGATGTAGTTAATCTTCTTACCCAGGACGCAGATGTAGTTTGTTGTCTTACCCGGGACGCGCATGTAGTTTATCGTCTTACCCAGGACGCGGATGTAGTTTATCGTCATACCCAGGACGGGTTAGTATTTCATTGTAAATCAGATAATAAAAGGTAAACATGTGTAGTTCAGATCGAGTGCTTTTATTCAATGTGTGACGCGGTACAGTTGGAAGAGGCGACTGCGTAAAATCAAAATGTCGGAAAAAATTAATTTTCTCCCTAGCTCTCGTTTCTGCTCGAGCCCAGGGTACTCACCTTGACGACTCTATACGTCACAGTATATTTCACATTCTCTTATGATATCGAGTGAATATGTCGCACCCCTGATTTTTGTCGAAATTTTGGTGAAAAAAAGTGCGACCTATCCTCAAGTATATACAGCAGTTATTTTAAACAATGTTGATAATAAAAGGAAAAGAAATAAAATATAAGTGCAGATACGATAAGAGTTATGTCGGATATGAGTAATCAATGAAGTCGAAAAACGTACGAAAAATATACCGAAGACTGTATAACTCAGATTATCAAAATGGAGAGAAAACAATCGGCTCCAAACTGGCTCTGAAAATTAAAGAATTACTTCTAACTGTTAAAAATATTTTTTTATATTTTTACAGAACAGTTTAAGAGGGAACAGTAATCCTAGGTATGACGATAAACTACATCTGGCAGCAAGGCCTCTGATCGGAAGATTCAATGTCTTGAGCATCATGGAACCAGCTCTTCTCATATTGTTCCCAGGTGGGAGAACCTTTTAGTGTCCTAGCTAATAGTGAAACCCCAAACAAAACACTATGAATGTATAAAAATACCAGCAATGCATTTTTATATAAAGATTTACCAACAATAAGCACATACTAACAAATTGTACTGACTTCACCAAAATCCATTTTAAATAATGACAAACGATCAACATGAATTCTTTCATTACATTAATTTATTAATTATCCGACAATTTCTTAAATCGAACTGTATTCCAAAATATAACTTCAACAAAAGAACTTATCACCACCTCTAATAGTCATGTCCACACAAACATGTTTATGCACAAATGCTGAGTATCATCTACCATGTATTCAATTGTGAAAGCAGAATAATATTCATATTACTTCCAAGCGCCAAGAAAATTAAATTTTGGCATTAACCTTTTCCCGGCGTAGACGTGTATACACGTTTTTTTTTTTTTACCGAAAGTGACTTTTTCACGAACGAATAAACACGTCCAAAATATAACGTTAAAAAAAAAAAAGATTCAGACGTGTTTATACGTCGAGCTTGTTTCTTTTTATGCCTTTCTGAACTTGAAACGTTTCCATTTATCAACTTATACGTCTGGTAGAGGTGGTAGTACTTGAAGGTCTCTCAGTTTCTTAGTTACTATATTAAAAACAAATAAAATATTCGTCTGAAAGATGAAATGTTTTCCCCCAAATAATTGGCGGGAAAGAGGTCAAATGACCCATAAGGAGTTGATATGCAGTTAAACAGATAAATTCAATCAAGAGGGAAAAGGCAAGAAGGTTTTGCAGTGATTGGGCCCTTTATTTATTTTTTTTCTAAATAGGATCGTCTGCAAGGGCTAAAAAAAATGTAGCTTCCGTTTTCGACGGCACTGACTCGACGAAAAATAAAAATTTAAAAATGATTTTGCAGTCTCCTTTCGCGCGAAAAATAACAACTTAATTTCTGTAGGAAAAAAATGGCTGTTTATCACAAGCTTCTTTCCTAGGAGACTTGATCTTCTACATTGCATGCCTTGGTGATTTAAACTTTTTTTTTCTCTCCATTTTCATATGCCTGCATCAACATTGGAATTGCAGGTTTCAGATATTTTCCAAAAGGCATGAACAGCACAATTTTGATGTCACATTTTAAAGTATACTCTTATTTCTATGTTGACTTTTTCTCTTGCATATTAAATAAAGAAGAAAAAAGCGAAGAGAAAACAAAATCAACCGTAAGGCGAAGAAAGGGAATGAGGAATTAGAATAAGCAATGATAAAAGATGGCGAAATAAATAAATGAGAAAGAGAAACAAAATGGGAAGAGAGACAGAATGTAAGAGATATAAAGAGAAGAACAAGACGAAAATACGGAGAAGGCAGGAGGGAGAAAAAGGAGAGGTGAGTAGCAATGAGAGAGAGAGGGTAAGTAAACAAAGTGAATGAAATGTGAAAATAAAGACGAGGAGAAATACTATAGTAAAATAATGGGTTTATTTTACTATTTTTTTCTTCTCATCAAGAAAAAAAGAAAGAAAAAAGAAGAAGGAAAGAAAGAATGAATATATGGGGGAAGGAAGGAAAAAGAGAAGGGAAATGATGAGGAAAGCAAAGAAAAAACACCACGTACCACAAAGAAAGAAAGAAAGAAAGAAAGAAAGAAAGAAAGAAAGAAAGAAAGAAAGAAAATGAATGAATGAATGAAGAGATACGGAGGAAGGAAGAAAAGAAAGAAAGAACGAAATGAAGGAAAACCAGAAGAGAAATGATGAGGAAAACAAAGAAAGAACACCACGTACCACAAAGAAAGAAAAGAAAGAAAGAAAAAAGAAAGAAGTGAGGGAGAAAGGAAAACGAGAAATGATGAAGAAAGGAAAGTATAAACACTATGTATCACAAAGAAAGATAGAAACAATGAAAGAAGGTAGGAAGAAAAGAAAGAGTGAAGGAAGTGAAGGGGGAAAGAAAACGAAAAGAGAAATGATGACAAAGAAAAAAACACTACGTACCACAAAGAAAGAAAGAAAGAAAGAAAGAAAGAAAGAAAGAAAGAAAAGAAAAGAAAAGAAAGGGTGAAGGTGGAAGGAAAACGAGAAGAGAAATGATGATGAACTGAATGATAAAACACCACAAAGAAAGAAAGAAAGAAAGAAACAAACAAACAAACAAAGAAGGGATGCGAAGGTAGGAAGAAAAGAAAGAGTGAAAGAAGTGAAGGTGGAAAGAAAACGAGAAGAGAAATGATGAGGAAAGCAAAAAAACACTACGTACCACAAAGAAAGAACCAAGAAAGAAAGAAAGAAAGAAAGAAAGAAAGAAAGAAGGGATGCGAAGGAAGGAAGAAAAGAAAAAACACCACGCATCACAAAGAAAGAAAGAAAGAAAGAAAGAAAGAAAGAAAGAAAGAAAGAAAGAAGTGAGGGAGGAATGAAAACGAAAAGAAAAATGATGAAGAAAGGAAAGAAAAAACACTACGTATCACAAAGAAAGAAAGAAAGAATGAAAGAAAGAAAGAAAGAAAGAAAGAAAGAAAGAAAGAAAGAGAGAAAGAAAGTCATAAGGCTTGAGTTTGAAACTCACCATTACTTAATGAGGTATCGATCCTAGCATGCGGCACCTTTGAAGTCTTGTAAATGAAAACGGGTAGACAAAACTGTTTGGAAACCATCGATGGTTGTGCTAGCCCGAGGTCACAAGTCAGCATGACTGAGGGTTTGAGTGTACTGGCGTTATTCAAATTGTTCATCATGACAGATTATGCGCTTTATCTTAAAAACTGTAACTATAGTCTAAACCACAGCTAAGCTCTGTAGGTGTTGTATAATCACAAATACGCTTGAAAAGACGCCTGCAACAGGAATTGGTTAATCAATCATTGCAGTCGAGCGGCCTTGGAAATGTGTAACCATCTATTATTATTATTATTATTTTATTTCCTTTGTTTCTGGTATATACTCATTTTTTTCGGGTCCCAACCAGGGACCTAAGGCCAGAAATGGGATCATGACATTTTCCACAGAGTAATGTTTGAGGGAAAAGAAAAAAACTAAGATCACATACATTTTACATAGATAAATCCCTTCGTAAGTTGTGGGCTCTACTTGTGAGTACAATATTATGTATTTATTATATATTTCTTTAAGTCATGGGCTACCAGGAATCCCTTCAATGGGTCTCTCGGAACCTTTTCAGATCAATCCGAGGGCTCCAACTACAACTGGAATTACTGATGTCTTCATGTGCCACATTTTTTGAGATTTCGCTCCTATTAAATGCTAAAACATTTTAATTTTTATTATTTTCATTTTCCGAATCTCTACTCAAATATGTGGTTGAGTCTTACAATGTAAGAGGTATATCTTTCTTTACTTTCATTGAAGACTTTGTCCAACAGTATGTATATATATATATATATATATATATATATATATATATATATATATATAAGTAATTCATCAACAGAATGCACTGGACGGACGTTTCATCCTATATTTGGGACTTTATCAGCAGTGCGCATCCACTACCGAGAATAGAAACCCTGACAGGTTGTCAAGCAAACATCATACCACATACCAACTGTTCCATCGGGCTTCAGTGACGAAGAGATTGCAAATCAGACTCAACAAAGCGCCGCTTGCTCACATATTCTGTAGTGGATGCGCACTGCTGATGAGTCCCAAATATAGGACGAAACGAAACTGTTGAGGTTTCTTTCAGACTCGATGAATTACTTAAATATAATTATCAAATTCTCTTAATAATTTCTATCATATATATATGCATATATACATATATATATATATATATATATATATATATATATATATATATTTGCTCAAGTATATAGGCACACCCAAATGTATACCCACGTACAATCGGCTTATTACAGCCAAAATGGCCGCTTTGTATCACCTTTGTTATCCATCCGTGTTCAGTGACAATTGAACCAGATAAAAACAGGAGTCGACGCATAAATCTTAAAGAAATGAGACAGCCGGTGGCGTTCAGGGCCATATCACCATTTACCATAACATGTCAACGGGTATTCAAACTGGAAGACGACATATATCTGCTTAGTCAGAGCCGACACCTTTTTCTTCTTCTTCGTGATTTCCTGAGATTTTCCTTCTTTTCTTCTTTCATTTCTTCTTTTCTTTCCTTTCTTCTTTTTTTTCAATCCTCTTTTCTTTTCAATTTTTTTCTTCTTCTTCTTCTTTTCTTTTCTTCTTCTTCTTTCTTCTTCTTCTTTTTTCTTCTTCTTCTTCTTCTTCTTCTTCTTCTTTTCCTTCTTCTTCTTCTTCTTCTTCTTCTTCTTCTTCTTCTTTCCTTCTTCTTCTTCCTTCTTCTTCTTCTTCTTCTTCTTCTTCTTCTGCTTCCTCTTCTTCTTCTTCTTCTTCTTCTTCTTCTTCTTCTTCTTCTTCTTCTTCCTCTTCTTCCTCTTCCTCTTCTTCTTCTTCTCTTCATCCTCTTCTTCTTCTTCTTCTTCTTCTCCTCTTCTTTTTCTTCTTCTTCTTCTTCTTCTTCTTCTTCTTCTTCTTCTTCCTTCTTCTTCTTCTTTTCTTCTTCCTTCTTCTTCTTCTTCTTCTTCTTTCTTCTTCTTCTTCTTCTTCTTCTTCTTCTTCCTCTTCTTCTTCTTCTTCTTCTTCCTCTTCCTCTTCTTCTTCTTCTTAGGCTTACGGCCATATCACATTGAAACACCGGTTTTCTTTCTTCTTTTTGGGATCACCGAGTTTAAATCGTCGTCTCCTTCTTCATTACCTAGATAGGTGACCGCTAGGGAATACCAGGTCTTGTAAGCTTGGGTGTGAGCACGGTGCAATGGATAACTGCTCGGAATTTGAAATCGAAGATTCGAGTTCAATTCCAGTCGGTATCGTGATATTCACTTACGCTCATACCCTTCTTCTTCTTGTATGAATCCATCTCTTCTGCCTCCAGGTATGGGTTAATTAGTAAAAGTTAGATATAGGTTAATTGTACCAGTAAATCATTATTATCTCCCAAAAAATCCTCACGGTCTAAAAATATTTTCTGGTTTTAAATAACCTGCAAATGATTGATAAGGTTTAAAAAAATCAATCAATGACTCAATCAATCGATCAATCAATCTTCTTTTTTTCATGACATCTTATCCGCCATTTTTTCTATTCAACACCCTTCATGTTTGCTTTTTCATTATCATTTCTCTCCTCCATATTTCGAAAGTTTGCCTCTATATGTCACATTCATTTTCTCTTAACCTTACACCATTTATTCTTCATACGCTTTGGAATGGGGTAATGGTTAACGGTCTATCTAATTGATTATTACAACAAAATAACTGGCTAAAAAATTTGGCACAGATACTGGTATCAGTGGATTCTAGTCTACTAAGGAGGCTAGCTAGTCCAGGTACATTTCGAACAAATAAGCAACTATGATGAGCTGAACTTAGTTACGGATTTCTGGGAGAGGATGCACTTTCTAGCGCGATCACCACATCTGAACCGTTGGTTCCCAAGGCATCCGTCTACCCAATTTCACTCACAAGGTTCAACCCATAGTATGGTTTCAACACGCTGTGATCGCCTCCTCCGGACAGATAACATCAAGAAGACACCTTACTGACAAACCGACTATTAAAAAGTGAACGTATTGGCTCTATTCGAGGATACCGTCTACTAGGGCGACATTTTTTTTATTCAACACCCAAATAATGCAGACCGTAGTTACAGTTTCTGGGAGAGAGCGTTATATAGCGTGATCAGCAATTTGAACAAGGCCAGCACATTTGTCGCACAGTCTCCAAGAGTTCCGTCTACCCAATTTCACTTGCACGCTGGGATCGACCTCGATCCACTCTGATAACATGACAAATAGACCATAGTGAGATTCGAACCCGGGTCTCATGACCAGAAAACGAATTTTCTAACCACTCGGCTATATATACGAAATTCTACATAAAAAAAAACACAACCGAAGATTCACATGTCGTAAAATCGACGAAGCAAATTTCTCCGTCCATTATTTTCATCTTCTTCTTCTATTGCTCTCTCTCTCTTCTACGACCGAACAACGAGTTCGATCCTCACCGTGTGCCCCATAAAATTTCGATGTTATAAACCCAAACAAAGATTTACATGCAAAATCGACTGAGCTACAACCTTCTCTTTTCATTATTATCTTCTTCATCCCTTGTTCTCCCTTCCACATTACTAATGAGTTACGAGTTCGATCCTCACCGGGTGCCCCGTACAAAATTCGACAATTCAACTATTCTTGACTTATAGACTAAACTAAGCAAACAACACTCCTTCTGATTTTTACGAGATTAAATCTGTGAAATTAACACAGTCTTATGGGGTATGACTAGTTTTCCAGTCTGCAACCATTTTCTCATAGATGTAATTTTGCAAACCTCTCGTTAATATGATGCTATTTCCAGGTAAATGTTCGGATGAGCTCCATTTTTTAGTTCCACGAGTTTAGACCTTTACTTCTAGATCATGCTACTTCCACGGAATCAAATCACACTCATTTCCTCCGTATTTCAAGTGTAAGGAGAACGTTCCAATCCGACAGCCTTTTCCCAAGAACTGCTACTTTAGGGAACAGGTTCTTACAGTGATGCTCCCTTAAACAATACAGTCTTATTTTAAACTGACTCTCACCACGAGTTGTTGACCTCAATGTCCACTCATATATATATATATATATATATATATATATTTAGTATATATATATATATATGTATATATATCATATATATATATATTGTTTCAAACCATATATAAACCCGATATCAATATATATATATATATATAAATATAAATTTATATTTTTTCTATACAAAAGACTCGTTTCAAGATTGAAGAGAATGCTTAATCAGTGTTGCTTTTAAAACATCCTTTCCTGATTATATAATATCCTCAGACAGACTGTTTCGCTATATTCGAAACCTCTCATGTTGCCAGACGTCTGATTGCTTCCAGCCGGGATCGAAACCTGACATCAGTCAGATATCTTACCCCTCGGCCATCGTCGCAAACACTCAGAACTGAGCAGCGAGAAAATATGAAGAGATAAAAAAATGAAAAAAAGAAATAACAACTACATTTGACACATACACAAATGCAACGCGCGTACACAAACACGCACACACAGAGAGAGACAAAATTCAACCTCACCATAGCGCATAAATTAATTTTTAATTTCATATAAAAGTAACGAAAATGAGAAAATCTTAAGTTAATTGCTGAAACTTCATGAAGAGTGGGTGTAACGATCGCATAATAGTTCGTTTACAAAACTTTCGAGATGAAGTTCTGAATATGACATCAATCAGCTAAGTAACACATTTTATTTGCATTAATCCTATGAATTTCGAAAATCTGAAGTTAATTGCTGAAACTTCCTGACGAGTGGGTGGAACGATCGCAAAACGGTTCCTTTACAAAACTTTCGAGGTGTAGTGCTGAATATGAAATCAATGAGCTAAGTAACAAATTTTATTTTATTAATCCTATGAACTTCACGTCTCTTTAACCACTTCGATAATCTTCCTTCCATGTTTGAGGGGCTGAGATCCTATCGGGTTATGTGATCAAATCTCGTCGGAAAATTCTTCATTTTCAATTCATGCTCCTTGTTTAACAAACGTAGAATGTAATAACGTATTGAGAGGTTCGCCTATCTCCCTGTTCTAACTCCTCCCTGATCTTTTGAACAGGATTAGAGGCTTATTCCTGTTCAGGATTGGGTTTCCGGTTGCTTAAGCAAGTGGATGAAAAGGTGGGCACCTTGAGGCGGTGTAATGGTTAATAAGCTTGTCACACTAAAACAATTACGACTGAGTAGGTGCTCCATACTTTCGGCCTTGTGCCACATCTAAGCTACACTTAGAAAATCACTAGTGTGTAAACCGCTCTTTGGAGTGGATTGTAACACATTATTTATCATCTCTCAGTTGCGTTTCTGCCTTTGGGCAGAGTGCACTCAGGGGAGACTCCATCAAAGGACACAGTCACAATGGAGGAAATCATACTGAAAGATGCCCCACGCCTAGGGAATAGCTGCCCGAGGCCGGGCTCTATCATTGTTCCAGAGAGAGGGATCGATGCTCGCACCGAGGTCAGCGCAACCGACGATTGCGGGGAGAGGCTGCGGGCAATTTTTGTTCCTAGCCCGGGTGTACCTAGCCCACCTTAAAAAAGACCTTGTGTCACAACTCGTCTTAGTGGGAGGACAGTGTAAATACCTAGTGGATAGCCGAACGTGCTCTTGGGAAAGGTGGCAGAGGGACGAAACTTATTGAGAGCTACAAGAGAGAAGGGGAAATGGAAAGACAGGGACACGGCACATAGAAAGAAAGAAACTGGCGATGACAGACAACAAGAGATTTATGACTTTAATGAGGGCATGAGTGCGAAATGAAAATATAAATAGACGAAGTCAGAATTGGAAACCGGTTCGTTGGTTCTGTGCTAATAAGCGTTGCATAACACCACGCACCGTGTGATACAGACGGCGAGGAAATGAATGGGGTTACTAATCCGAATGAATACTACGGCTCTTCGGAAACTCACTACTTAAGTCAAAATGTGTTTGGTCATGGCCTAATGATTATGAAGCTTGTTTTCAAATTATTTCTTCTCTAATGATTTTAATCCGCACTGGATAGCCCCCCCCCTCTCTCTCTCTCTCTCTCTCTCTCTCTCTCTCTCTCTACAGCAAAAATTGTTCAAATCGTGTAACAGCAAAAATTATTCAATTGTTAGATTAAGCTTTGAACTAATGTATCTGGGAAATCCAATAAGATGTCTTTACATCTTATTGGATTTCCCCTAGGTTTTAAAACACTATTAGAATCTAGTTTGAACAATAAGAATGTATTTAGCTCTAAATTGAAATGATGATCCCTCTTCCCGTTGTAACCTCTTGATCCAG